GATTTCATCAAAAACCTGGTTCCGATTACTTTGAAACCTTCAACCCTGTAATTAAGCCAACAACAATCCGAACAGTGCTCTCCATTGCTGTGAGTAGAGGCTGGAAGATTCACCAATTAGACATCAACAATGCCTTTCTCAATGGTAAACTTGATGAGACAATATTCATGCAACAACCGGTGGGTTTTACAGATCCAAATCAACCCCACCATGTTTGTCGCCGCAAGAAGTCCTTGTACGGCCTAAAGCAGGCCCCAAGAGCCTGGTTCCGTGAGCTCAAGCAATTTCTCCTATCTTTTGGCCTCACAAATTCAAGGTCATATAGCTCGCTCTTTGTTTCTCCTTCTGGTATTGACCGGCTCTATGTTTTGGTTTATGTAGACGATATTCTAATCACCGGAAGCAACTCTGCCATCATCTCCAAGCTAATCCATGCCATGAGCACAAGATTCTCCTTGAAAGATCTTGGAGAACTTAATTTCTTTCTTGGTGTCGAGGCCATTCATACTACTACTGGTCTTTTCCTCTCACAAAGGCGCTACATAGAAGACATCCTGCACCGGTCACACATGGAAAACTCCAAAGCAGTAAGTACACCACTTGCTTCTACTACCACCCTTCAACAGACTGCAGGACACACTCTTACAGATCCAACGGAGTATAGAAAGATTGTTGGCTCCCTACAGTATCTTAACCTGACACGACCGGACATTTGTTTTGCCACAAGTAAGCTTTCTCAGTTTATGCACAGTCCTACAGACCTCCATTGGCAAGCGGTAAAAAGGGTTCTTCGGTACCTTAAGGCAACTCTTAATCATGGTCTCCTTATTCGTCCTCAATCCTCACTATCTCTTCATGGCTTCACGGATGTTGATTGGGCTGGAGACAAAGACCATTTCACCTCTACGACAGGGTATCTAATGTATCTCGATTCCAACCTTGTGTCTTGGAAAGCCACCAAACAACGAGCCGTAGCTCGAAGCTCTACTGAAGCAGAGTATAGGGCTTTAGCAGCAGGCACTTCAGAACTTGTATGGATCCAAAACCTTCTTTTTGAACTTGGCATTCGACCTACTTCCCCTCCAGCACTCTACTGTGATAACCTTGGTGCTACTTATCTTAGTAGTAACCCAGTGATGCACTCTCGTATGAAGCACATTGCAATAGACCTTCATTTTGTTTGGGATTTAGTTGACAAGAAAGTTGTTCGAGTCTCACACATTGCATCCATAGATCAACTAGCTGATGGACTCACTAAACCTCTTTCTAGTCATCGGTTTCTCTCCTTAAGATCCAAGATTGGAGTCACTGACGGCTCCTCCATCTTGCGGGGGCGTGTTAAGGAAATAAATTATTCCTCGTCAATCTCTTGATTTACATCTTTATTATCATTATTGTAATTAGTTAATTATATATCTTTCCTTATACATATGATTTAGGGCAACAGACTCTTTGTATATATACATGTGCTGTAAATACAAATTTGATATGGAATACAAATTGTCTCAAACCTGTTATAGGTCTCCTCATTTGCTTTTTGTTAATTTCCTACTTCTTCCTTATTTGCTTTTTGTTTATATAAAAGTATATCACATAGGAAACTCTTATCTATATATAAGTACACGAATATAGGATAATAAGACAAATGGAAGTTGTAAACTATTTTCTTTGTCAAAGATTTTCTTTAAACTAGATAATACATAAAAACAAACAACTAAAAAGATCTTTATACATACTCAAGAAGATGAAACTCTCAAAAGAGTACATTGAATTTTTAAGGAGGATTGGATAGGGAAAAATTTAATTACAAGATTATATAGTAAAGAAGATTCTTTAATTTCTTGACAAAATTGAGAAAAAAAAAAAAGAACTTCAAAAATTCTTAAGTATACTTAACTATGCCCGTATGTATATGCTTGGGTTGAACCTTAGTGGATCTTAATAGAACTTAACTATTTTGACAAAGCAGTAAAACAAGTTGGACAAATAGTAACTTATCTTTTAGAGAAAAAAAGACCAAAAAATTTATGTAACTAAAACTTGAGCCTTTAGGAATGTATTTAATATGGTTAGACTTATGACAAGAATATAAGACAAACTAGATCTTTGGCAAAGAAAAGACCGTCTCTAGACTAAAATTTATTCATTTTCTATACCATATACAAATATATAAATGAAATAGCTCTTATGCCATTTTATTTTAAAATCCTTCACACCTTAGACAACCTACACTCAGCTATTACATTTTTACTCTACAAAGTATAAAAATGGTGAAGATCAATATGAAGATCATACGATTGGAGTTGACATCGGTGGTGACCTTCCCAATGACAACTTAGATGATGGGATAAATATTTATGATAATCTTGACCCTGTTGGATGGGGAAATCTTGAAAATCAAATGGAGGGATAATAATTGAATCAAACAAAGGAACAAGCATGCCTCACTCCAAAATGACTACCATGAGACATGTTCCTCAAAAGTTGGCCTTAATCTTTGAAGTTTTTGGATTTATTTTAACAACTCTTTTTGATTTTGTATCAAAATCGTTGTTTGATGATAAATATTTTGAACAAAAGGATCTAACTCTCTTTTATTCAAAATTTGGAGTTGACTAAATTAACTTTATTTTTAACAAATTCAATTTATTGTTGCAAGTAGTCATAATTTTCAATTATTTTCAAAATATTTTTACTGTAATGCTTTTCAAGGTTTTGGAACTATTCAAGCACTGCTTTTTCTTTTTCTTTTTGTTTTCTATAATTTTTTGCAAAATTTATAATCAAATCTACAATACTATTTAACTAACTATTATTCGAATGTAAAATATAACAAAAACCTAAAAAAATTACATACTAACTTATGTTTTTCCATTTACTACATATTGTTGATATCTTACTTAGTCTTTGCTTACTTTAGTCAAGCTTATCTTTTTATCTTATCTTTATTTGTTACTGTTTAGTTTATCTTTTAGTCAATATTTATTTATTCCTTTCAATATTTGTTACTGTTAGTATTTATAATTTTGTTGTCAGATACTATTTGATATTGTAATTGTGTTATTATTTGATATTGTATTTTGTTTGACTTATATATATATATCCTCCCGAAAGAATGATGGGTATGGCTAGGTTGGAAAGGTAGCTAATTTTGATTAATAGGAGACTCCTTTCCAGCACCGGCACAGCGCAATTAATTGTACTTGGCTTTTGTTTAACAGTACTCAGCCAAGTTGGAGAGCTTTGTTTGCTTTCCAACTACAAAATATATAATGAAGGCCTAATTTTACCCTGAGCAATTATTATATATACTCATTTGAAAGCAATTACTATTATTATTGGAAATCGATAAGCCTCTTGGAATGTGGAAATCTCAGGACTTGGTTCACTCAACTCAATTAGTAGTAAAAAAGAAGATTAATTAATAAGTCGAAAGAAAAACAGAACCAAAAAGATTGAAGACACAATCAACACAGTACAGCTATAAATAAGTTTAATCATTCAAATTAAATTACGAAAATGTAGTCTTCCTACATTAAGAGAGGGGTGAGATAAAACAGGAAGTCCCCACTGAGTGGAGAAGATGATGCTGGGACATAAACCATCCATCTTCAGTCGATCTATAATGTCAGCATACACCCTTGCAATCTTGCCTGCCAACACTACCATGGAAAAGGCCTTGAAAATAAGTTTTCTGGAACGAGATAGCCGAATCCCTCCCTTCATTTTCTTCACCCAACGCTTCCTAGGCCTCCCAACCTTGGTGGTCTCATCACCATGCTTTAGCTTCTCATAGCGCAAGCCACGCATTGTATCCGGGACTGCAGGGACACCAATCTGCAGCATCATGAGGACTCTGAAAAGGGAAATTAAGGCAGAATGCAATGACACTAGCTAGCATATATAAAGATCACTGATAAGGATGGAGAGAAGGAAGGACGACTGGAACTGGCTGCCACCGAGCAACACATGGTTCACATCTTATTTTAATTGAGTACATATACTCTGCAATTGGGAATTCAGCTTTTTGACACATGGCTAGCATCATGCATGCATATAACCACGACAGTTAGGCAGTGACATTCATTTTGTGTGAATATTTGTTAAAGGCGGATGGAATATGGGAGGCATGTGCAATGATAAGCAGCCGACCATGTCAGGATGCAAAAAAAAACTAAAGGAATGTATGCAACAGCTGCTCTCTCATCTTTAATTACGTAACAAATTAACAGAAAAGCTGATCCAAGTTTTTTCTTTATTTGTATGACAGAGATTAGCTCTTAATCAACAATATATGAATTAATCTTAAACCAACTAAACGATAGAAGGAGAATCAATCAAGATTTAGTGTATTTTGGAGTGTTTAGAAGAAAAGAGTTGGTAGTAGAGAGATTGAATACACAGGGCATCTTTCTTTGCTTTGACTGCCACCTGAATGTATTAGTCTTCGTTAGATGTATCCTAATATATTAATGTGTTGTTTCGAAAGAATTAAATTTGATTCAAGTGTATTCCAATATCTGCTAGAAACTTTGACCACTAAACATTTGTCCTCTATCCAAGCCAACTATTATTCAGCGGATGAATTTTCCTACTCAAACGGCGAGATTCCAAAGCAAATTAAATTAAAGGAGAGAGCATGTATGCACTGTACCCTCTCCTGTCCTAAGTCCCAACCAGCGCTGGGCTGCAGCCCTAGCTCTTGTAACTTGTCTTTATGCAAAACTTACTAAAATGTAGTCTGTTTGATTAAATATTGTATTGGTAATAACAGGAAGAGCACCCTGTCACGCTATCCCTACAACTTTGGAATGAGAACCTGTAACAGGGCAAATTCTAAAAATTTATGATATTTTTGTCAATTTTCATAAATAATTTGTGTAGTTGAAAGAAATTATGTAAAACTAATTATTAAATTAAAGGAGACGAAGCACTAATATGGGGACGGACAGGTTTGCCCTATCCTAAACGGCAGTGCAAACTCTTATTACCATTGTTGTCAAAATCTAGATTTAAATCTTAAAATCTTACGATTTTACGATTTCAGCAAGACATTTCGTGTAAAATCTATACTAAAATCTGAAATTCATAAAATCTCGATTTTACCATGAAATCAGGTAAAATCTCGATTTTATCGTGAAATCAGGTAAAATCTCGATTTTACCTTCTGTTTGGCAGCTGGACTTGTTGCCTATTTTCTTTTGGACTTCTTATCTTGGGTTAGTGAGTTTTGACTAGATAACCCATAAATTAAGCTTATTTTTCATTTTAAAAGCCTACAACCCACACAACCCAACCACAAATCAACATTTTAATAGGAAATTCGGGACAAATTTGATTTAACCATCTAAAATTCTAAATTTAAGTCATCTCCTTCATTTAATTTATTTGTGTTATTGGATATTTAGATTTTAATTAGCTAATTTCAAGTTTCTAACTCTAAATTTGATTTATTGTTATATAATTTTGATTTTATATAATTTATTATATATTATATATTAAATTTTGTAAAATCTCGATTTTACCGATTCGATTTTACGATTCCGATTTCACCTAACCAAAACGATTTTAGGTAAAATCTCGATTTTGACAACCTTGCTTATTACTAGTGGTAACAAAGCAAAACACGTTTTGCAAGTCCAGTTGTAAAGTAAATTTCTGCTTCTGCTTTGTCTCTGTACATCTTTTCATCCAAACCTTTTTTGGATGGGTGTCCTTTCATTTATATGACTTTTTGTAAAGCCCATGCCATGCCATGGGATGGGATGTGTTTTACTTCCATTTCAGTTTCCCATTTTTCAATATCCAATGACCAATGTAACCAAACAAACTGGCCAGTTCATATTGAGTATTTCAGTATTTTTAATTAGAATTTTTAAAGTTTATCTTCAATTTTAATTACCATTTGAATTTCTCAGCTTAATTAAGCATGTGCCAGCTCATTCCGAGCTGCAGCCTGCCTTTCATCCGCACTACTACTAATTAATGTAAATAGAAACGACTAAAGATAATGTTTGCCAAATATTAAGGAAATAATAATACTTGTATATATATGATGATTTGTTGAGAAGAGTCCATTTAATCTAAATTCTCAAATCTTACGCGTCGCAGAGGGAGCATGAAACTACTAAACTAAACTAAACTAACAATGTCCTAAATATGATTAATGATTTTTTTTTTCCCTTTGTGTGTGTGTGGACCTTGCAATTAAATTTAACAAAATTCACTAAAACTACCAGAAACAGAAGAAGATGTGATTGTAGCTGTGGTAGTTGTTCACAAAGTTGATGAATCTTCTTCTCCAGTAGCGTAAGATGGGATTTGCACAATCTTTTTACTTCGTTTTCTATTTTTATTTGAGAGAATCCTTAAGAAAAGTCTTTTGTTTCCACTGAACTAAAAGTTAAAATAAAAAAAATGCCCATATCTTTGATAAACTAAAGTTATCGTTTAATACCTGTTTTGTTTCAACCTATCCTTTTGACGATTGATTGACAATTTAGTTATACTTAAAAATACATTTTTCTTTCCCCATAGATCCTTTATTTAATACTTATTGACTTGGAAGGGTTCATCCAATTCAAAGTTAATTATGTTTTGAAATTCCACAATCCAAATTTTCAATTTATAATTGATCCTTGGATACAAATGACAGGAATTATATTATTCCTTGAATCTTTCATTTAGAGATAAAGGATTTAATCCTTTTAAAAGAAATAAAGTTTTGATCAAAATTAGGAATAAAACCGAAGGACCCCTTACCTATCAAAAAGAGTAATAGAAACAATCACACTTTTACTACTAAACTATACCCGCTACAATGTGATTATTGTTTATAATCAGACAGCCTGCACCGGACCAACCTCCTCAGTTTCCAGGGCCGATCCGAGGATCAACCACATCACCCTCTTCACCCTCACCAACGATCCCTTCATCTTTTCCACCGTGCTCTTCTTTCTGCATAGCTGGTAGCTCTCAGGAACACCTGCCTCTTCTCCATCATCCTGTACTTTTGCATGAAGAAGGTTTTCATCAGCACATAAAATCCTAAATATAGGAAAGCAACAACCAAAAATCAGAAGAAAGCAAAATAATGGATCCCATCACAATTACATTTTCAGGCTCTAGCAGCCACTTTTAATTCAAAGTCACATTTAGAGTTGCTTTGCTGGTGATGAGTCGCAACTTGCAGGCCACAAAGAACAAATTGGATATTAGAGCTACCACTTCTGAAGGATTCAAGTCATCTGCATGAAATAATGTTTTATGTTTCTCAATCAAAGTGTTATCTAATTTTGGCTAACTTCAAGAAGAAAATGTCCCTAAAACTATCTCAGTTCTCCTTAACTTAAACAAATAGAACTGCTATTCATGTAGTTCAAACTTCAAACATGTAACCTATGGTATGTTGTCAAACAGAAGTGCCAACCATTGAAAGTTGAAACATATTGAAAAACATGATCATTTCATCAGGAACAATAGCTCTGTTTCACAAACATAGTAGAAAATAAAAAAGTTTCACATATACAATATTTCAGATATTATGATAAATGGTACCTCAAATTTCATCCTGATCACCAATAATCCTTGCAAGAGCACAGACCATCCTGGAAATGATGGAACCTCTTAGCATCTCGCATTATGAGCTGTCTGCCAACAATCTTTGAAATGATCTTCATTGAAGTAAGGCAATCACCACAGACACAAAGATTCTTGATCACTCGAATAGGTGAGCATCCTGCAGTAGTCATGAGACCATGAACAACAGCAAGCTTTTCACTGTGATCAAGAAGAGCTTCTTCCTTTCCTTCCTGGTCTATATCATGCAATACGAATCTTGTCTCTGGAATATAACCAAATTCTTTCATTCGTTCCTTCAAATATCTTAGCAACGCATGGATTTTATCTCTCAGGGTGAGATCCATCCCCTGCTCGATACTCATGGACCCTGCCCTTAACTTCCAGAAGATTGTGACAGGACAACTTCTTTTTCTTTATCTCTGCAAGATCAGAGGCTTTCACTGGTATAAGACCAGCCTTCGACTGTTCACTCAAGCGAGAGGGATCTGCTCAACAAGCTCAGCACAATGATCCCCTAGCTCCAAGTGTCCATGAACTCTGCAGAGATTCATCAAAGTTTCCCAAACATCAACACTGGGCTCAAATGGCATCTCTTCAATGGATTCCAAAGCTTTGTCTAGATATCCTCTACTACCCAGTATTTCAACCACACTTACATAGTGCTCAATGGATGGTATAATACCATAATCCTTGCTCATGGATTCAAAGTGTAGCATTCCTTCATTAATATCAACCAAGATACTACAAGCAGAAAAGACTCCAATGAACATTTGACCATCAGGTTTCAACCCTGCTTTCTTAAATTGGGTAAATAAATCAATGGCATCTTCACCAAGACCATTCTTAGCAAGCCATGTTATCTGGTAGGGGTAGGTGACAATTGAGAAATCAC